AATTCCGCAGCGGCCTCCTTGTATTGCTTCATCCTCCCTTCTTTGGCCTCGTAGGAACCCTCCATCTGGCTCACTACGAGTTTAGAGTCGCATTTGATTCTGACGTGGCGTGCTTTAAGGCCAGCGGCTAGTCTGAGTCCGCTGAGGAGCGCTTCATACTCGGCCTCATTGTTGGATACTTTGAAGTTGAAGCGGATGGCGTAGTACGCTCTGAAACCTTCCGGGGAGATGAGGACGACGCCACCCCCACAAGCTTTGGTGGCCGAGGACCCGTCCGTGTAGAGGGTCCAGGCTTCGTCCGATTCAGCTCCTGTGGTGGTAACGACCGTCTCCCTTGCCGTGCACTCCGTGACGAAATCAGCTAAGGCTTTCCCTTTGATGGATGGCCTCGGCTTGATCTCAATCTGGTACTGGCTCAGGAATATCGCCCATTTGATCATCCTTGGAGAGCTGGTTGGGCTCCTCATGAGGGCGCCCAACGGCTGATGTGTGAGGACGTGGACGGGGTGAGCCTGGAAATAGTGCCCCAGCTTCTTCACTGTGTGGACGATGGCCAGCACCGTCTTCTCAATAGGGGAGTACCTGAGCTCGGCCTCCCGCAACGTCTTGCTGACGTAGAATATTGCCTTTTGCACCCCGTCGTCCTCCCTGATGAGAACAGAGCTAATGGCCGACGTGCTCACCCCCAAGTAGAGGAAGAGAGTCTCGCCGGGTTGGGGCTTGGATAGGACGGGTGGGGAGGCGAGATATTGTTTCAGCTCTTCAAAGGCCTGTTGGCACTCCGCCGTCCATTTGAAGCTGGTGGCCTTCCTCATTATTTGGAAGAAGGGGAGCGACTTCTCCGCGGATTTTGAGAGAAAACGGTTCAGGGCCGCGAGGCGTCCCGTCAGCCGTTGCACTTCTTTGATGTTGCGGGGCGGCTCCATATTGATGATGGCTTGTATCTTTTCTGGGTTTACCTCGATGCCCCTTCGGCTGACCAGGTACCCCAGGAATTTACCTCCCTGGACGCCGAAGGTGCACTTCTTCGGGTTGAGCCGGAGGTTGTACCTCTTCATGATTTCAAAGATGCCCCGGAGGTCGTCGGCATGGGTTGTGGATTGTTTGCTCTTGACGATCATATCGTCGACGTATGCTTCCATCGTCCGACCTAAGACTGCTCTAAAAATCCGGGCTACCATCCTTGTGTAGGTGGCGCCGGAGTTCTTGAGCCCAAAGGCCATGACGAGGTAGCAAAAAATTCCCTCCGGGGTCATGAAAGCAGTCTTCTCCGCGTCATCTTCATGCATGGATATCTGGTGGTACCCTCTGAACGCGTCGAGGAACGACATCAACTCGCACCCCGCCGTCTCATCCACCAACTGATCAATGTTGGGGAGAGGGAATGGGTCCATTGGGCACGCCTTGTTCAAGTCAGTGTAGTCAACACACATTCTGAACGTAGGCGGCTTTGGGGCGAGGACGACGTTCGCCAACCACGTGGGGTACTTCACCTCTTTGATGTGCTTGATGTTGAGCAGCATGGCCACCTCGGTCTTGACGAATTCTCTCCTGTCGGCTGAGAGGTAGCGCTTCTTCTGTTTGATGGGGGAGGAGGCCGGGTCGACTGAGAGTCGGTGTGTAATCACTTTTGGGCTGATGCCCGGCATGTCCTCTGGTCCCCATGCGAAGACGATGGCGTACGCTCTCAGGACGGAGAGGATGTTCCTTCGGATCTGTTGGGGGAGCTGTGTCCCAATCTTCAGCGTCCGTTCCGGCCGGGAGACGTCCAACGGAACATCTTCCACGTCTCCGACCGGTTCGGCCTTTGGCGTGTCTTCTTGGGCCGAGGCGGTGGTGATAGTGTCGATCCGCTCCTCGGCCTCATTGATCTTCCTTGTGAGCTTCAGGTAGCAAGCCCTGGCTATCTTCTGATTCCCTCTGGCGTAGCCGACGCCGTCCTTGGTGGGGAACTTGAGGCATAGATGTCTCATGGAGATGATGGCCTCAAGGTCCTCCAAGGCCGGTCGTCCCCAGATCATGTTGTGGGCGCTGTCCAGGTTGACAACCACGAACTCCATGTCAATTTTCGCCTGACAGGTACCGTCACCGACCACAACGGGGAGCACTATCGTGCCCTCGGCGTCGATAGAGTCCCCAGTGAAGCCGGATAACGGAGTCCGTATCGGCCGGAGCTCGGTCTTCTTCAGCTTCAGCTGTCTGAACGTATCAACGTACATCACATTGACGGAGCTGCCAGTGTCGATGTAGTTGCGGTGGATGATGTTGTTGCCAATCTCGCATTTGACGACGAGGGCGTCCCTGTGGGGCAAGGGGCCGAAGGGGAGGTCCTTGTCGGTGAAAGTGATGGCTTCCACATGCCGCCGCTTTGGCTGAGGGGGGGCGTGGGACACCTCACCAACGTATAGGGACTGAGCCCATTTTTTCCGTTGGGTAGCCGAGTCCCCCCCTGTGTTCCCGCCTACGATGATGTGAATGTGATGTTTTTTCTGGCGGGGCTCTTCTTCGTCCTCATCTTCACTGAGGGCGCCGATCTCCCTCTTTTTCCCGGAGGATCCTTCCCCCCTTTTGCCAGGGTTAACCCAAGTGTTACTCTTGGGGGCACCCTTGACAAATTGGGAAAGTTCCCCCTGTCGGACGAGGCCGTCGATGTGCCTCTTCAAGGTGGTGCAATCCTCGGTCTTGTGGGATGTCTGGCGGTGGTACTTGCAGTAGGTCCCTCCTTTGTGGACCGCAAATATCTCCTCCTCTGACCTGGGATCCTTCACAATGAGGCCCTGCGCCTCGGCGTGGTCAAGGACGACACTCACTGGGTGGGTGAGGGGGATGCGTTGTGCCTCCAACTTTGGACGCCATGAACGATCCTCTCTTCGCTGTCCGCCTTGCTCCTGGTGTGCCTTCTTTGGCTGGTGCTGTCCCTTGTTGGCCGGCGGGTGGTGGGGGTTGGACGAGGAGTCCTTCTTTTGTTGCTTCTCCCCACCCTTCTTCTGGTTCAGGAGCTCGTCGGCATCAGCGTGCCTATCTCCGCGTCGGAGCGCCGCGAGGTATGACCGAGGCGGCTCCGTGAACAGGCTCCGGGCGAAGTGGCTAGGCCGAAGTGCTCCGCGGAGGAAAGCCAAGAGAGTGCGCTCGTCGGCCCCTTCACATTCGTCCGCCTCCCTTGTCCAGCGATCGAGGAAGGCTCGGAGTGTCTCCTCCGATTGTTGTTTGATGGTCAGGAGGTGGGCGAAATGCTTCTTCGCACGCTTCCTCCCGGCAAAGTGGGTGAGGAAGCGCTGAGCAAGGTCCTGCCATGAGTCGATGCTCCCCTCCGGAAGGTTGTTGAACCAATCGTACGCTGGTCCCTCCAAGGTGGAGAGGAACCAGCGACACATGTACTCCTCCGAAGCGTTGGTCATCATCATATTGTTCTGATAGCGGGTAAAGTGCTCCTGAGGGTCGGTGCGGCCGTCATATGGCTTGATCGGATTTCCCTTGTACTTTTCTGGGATGGGAGCGGAGAGCACCCTTGCGGAGAAGGGGGTCCGGGTCCGTATCTGGATGATGGGCTCCTCGCGCCGGTCAGCCAACTCCCTTTCCAGAGCACTGACCTTGCTCAGGAGCGCGTCGTAGTTGGGATGCTGGGATGTCTGGGCCGATGCGCGCCCTGCGGCCTCTCGGGCCTCCATGTCGGCGAGGCGCTTCTCCAGGCGGGCGATGATCTCGTCCCTCGGGTCCGTGTTGGCCGCAGCGCCACCCAACGGGGTTTGGATTCGGGCCGCGTGAGCCAGGTTGATCTGATGACGCGCATCATCATCATTCAGTTTTCCTTTTCCTTTGTCTGGTCGGGGCCGATCCGTCGTCCGGGAAACGGATCCGAAGCTTTCCTTTGGCGACCCCGGCTCGCGGCCACCCAACCGACCCGCCACCCCTCCCGTAGGTACCCGACGGCTCGCGATGTCACCCAGCCTGTTGAAGGCTGAGATTTTACCGCGAGGTTGGGCCGGTGTATCCCGGGTAGGTGAGGCAGTGTGGGAATGGGTGTCCACGGCGAGGACGTCCTCGTTGTCACCGAAGAAGGTGACGCCTTGCGGACGAGGTGGCGGTGGTGGCACCGTCGCGACCTCTCCAGTTGCCGGAGTGTTGTTCTCCCCTGTCTTTGCGACGAGAGCGCTGACCACGTTGGGGTCCTGGAGAATGCTCGCGACGATGGCCGATAGTGCGGCCGGGTTGATCTGGGGGGCAGCAGGGTGAGAAGCCTGCTGGCCCGAAGCGCGATCAGCATTGCGCTTGTCCTCGAGCCCGATGCGGGCGTCTGGGGCAGTCTTGTTGAGCTGGGTGCGAAGGTCGGCCGCTGCGAGCTCGACCTCCTGAGCGTTCTCATCCTGAATGATGAGATCATTGGGGACGTTGTCAGCAACGTTTCCCTGCCCTTCCTGGTTCAGAGGGGCATTCCTTCCGGTGTTCTTTGACCTAGTTCTTGTCATTCTGTTGCGTCTAGTAGCGACGAGGGGTACTCACTTGATCTGTTCTGACTCTCAACGAGAGCACCAAATGATAGAGTATTAATTCTAGAGAGAAGTGAGAGCTAGAGAGAGAAAGTGAGTAATTATATTTCTCAACTCCCTATAATGAGCCCCTTGGGGTCTATTTATAGGTAAAAATGTGGACATGGGCTCCTAGCCATGGGCTTAGGAGGCCCATTACAATAATTATGCCCTCTTTGGGCGAAATAGGGCCACTAATGGGCTGTGTACAATACTTAGTAAATAAAGTAGAGAGATGCATTCTGCCCCGCGCGAAGCCGGGCCGATGCGGTGCCTTTTGGCCGATGCGGTCTCATGGCCGATGCGGTCCAAGAGCCGATGCGGCCCCCGGAAGTCCATACGTGCTTCCTGGGCCGGTTTGGTTTCTGGCCGATGCGGACCCACTGGCCGAAAGGGGGCCACACGGGTGTTCTTCTGGTCATCGTTGACTTGAGTATGTGGGCCATGGGGTCCAGGCCCATATACTCTATCATCGGGTTTCGTCTTGACCTAAAAAGTAAACCTTAAATGAATACCTCAAGATGCTATATGTTTTGTATTTTTTTTTATTTTATCAATGCGGGTGATTAATTATGTTTGACTCTGTCTCACTAATGTTAATTGTATATATAATTGTTCAGATAAACACAAAAGCTCACTGTTGGACTGGAAAAGGCGTTTCAACATCATCTATGGGATTGCTCGTGGAATACTATATTTGCATCAAGACTCGAGGTTTAGAATTATTCATAGAGATCTTAAAGCAAGCAATGTTCTCTTGGATAAGGAGATGAATCCTAAAATATCAGACTTTGGCATGGCCAGAATATTTGGAGGCGAAGAAACAGATGCCAACACTACAAAGAGAGTAGTCGGAACATAGTAATAATCACTGGAACCATTACTTTCAAGTTAATTCTAACTCTAAAAAATGACTACTTTTTATAATTTTCTTTAACTGATATTTATTTTTTCTTCTATTAGTGGGTATATGTCACCAGAATATGCAATGGACGGACAATTCTCGGTGAAATCTGACGTTTTTAGCTTCGGAGTTCTAGTGCTTGAAGTAGTTAGCGGGAAGAAGAACCGAGGATTCTATCAACACAACGAAAAAGAAAACCTACTTGGCTTTGTAAGTGGGTATTAATTTAGAAATGTGCCAATTGGTTGATTCTTTGAGAAGAGTTCAAATGCACCAAGAGCATTGAACATAGTCACTAGTTTGTCTTGGGCTTCCATAAGAAGTAACTCAAGATGTTATGTGTTAGTTTGTAACTTTATATTTGGTGTATGATATATTTGTTGCATGGTAGTTAGATTTGTCACCACATATTTTCAGGCTTGGAGTTTGTGGAGAGAAGAAAGAGCACTAGAACTATGCGATTCAACTATGGAATTACAATCACATTCAGGATTTGAGAAAGATCAAGTAATGAAAAGTATACAAGTGGGTTTACTATGTGTGCAGGAGAAAGCCGAAGATAGACCAACAATGGCAGCTGTGATATTGATGTTGAAAAGTGAAGGGGCTTTGCTTCCCCATCCTCAATCGCCCGGGTTTTGCGTGATGGATAAAAGGCATGTAAAACCAAATTTATCTTCTAATATTAATAATGATGATCAAACTTTGAACAAACTTACAATCACCAATTTGGATGGTAGATAACGAATGATTCATTGCCATGTTTGTATATTTTTGTTACCATAGTTACTACACAATTTTGGGAATTGAATGATTTATTGAATGTTTGGCATTTAGTAACTAAATAAATACTTGTAGATTATTAATCTAATCTTTTTTAATTACTTGATGTATTGATAAGCAAACTCTGGCTAAGCTTTTCTTAGTAACAAGCTAAGTTACGAACTAATAATTGAGTTTGGGTTAGTAGAGCATATACTTCCTACGTTCCATAATTCTTGCAACATTGTGATTTTTACACTATTCACAGATCTTACATTGACCATGATTTTCTACTAATATACATAATCAAATTATTTCGTATAAAATGTTATTGAACTCTTATCAATGTGAATTTCCAAAATATCAACTTTTTATAATGTTTACTAATACATAATTAAATATAATTACAGTCAAAGTTGTGCATTGACAAACATGAAAGTCAAACTGTTGCAAGAATTATGGAACGGGGATAGTACATAACTCACTTTAGTATGTTTTTATTATTGGACATATATCACACGTGCTTCAAGAAAGAGGACATTAAATAAATTGCCGATTCAAATGAGAGGTGAAATGTGGGTGGGGGAGTGGGCCAAATTACCAAATTGGTATAAGAAAAAGGAAAAATTCACATAAATAATCTGAACTATTAGCTATTTTCTAATATTAATCCCAAATATGAGTAATTCCAAAATAATCCGAAATGGAGGGAGTATCTTCCCATATTGATCCGTATTTACCTTCAACTTGTTTAACCGGTAAAAAAGTGAATAATTAAGCTCCTGGCATTGGATAGCCTGTCGGTTGGTTTCCTTTCCTCTAAATCATGCCAGCACATCCAAATTCGAAATCAAACTCCTTTCTCTCTTAAAGATTGATTTTTTTCATCCTCAAATTTTAAGTTTGTGATTTGGATTTCACCCTTCTCGTGTTTTTATTTTATTTTATTTCGGCTTGTTCAATTTCAACATTAGCACTTTGAATCTGGTGGCTGATTTCAAGAGACATCAGAAATATTGAGCTCTCTCCTGACACCGGCGCCGTTAGGATACAGTCAGGTAGAGGAGAAATATTTTCGTCAAATTGGAGATATAGGATGGTGAGAAGACTAGCTTTAGGTGACATTCGTTTTCATCATCTACCTATCCAGTTCATCATAGTCGCTTCTCATGTCCGTTTGAGAAAGCTTAGCATCAATACAACATTATACACACACCCACTTCCTCCTAAGCGGCGGTAAATTTCAAACCGTCGTCCCGTGTAGAGACTGATAGAATCAAAGCCCGAGTCAGCGAAGTGACTAACGGAGGTAGAAGAAAACCAGACGGTGCAACCATGACTAATTTTAATTCTTTTGTATTAACCATTCGAGTGCCATTAAGGGACTGGGACAGAGGTTATTAAATGATAGATTTTAAACTGATAAAAAAGATGTTGGTTAAGTTGTATCCAAGATAAGAAAAGGGAGAATGGTTCAATGGTATAAATCATTGTTGCAGACAGAAGAAAATGTTCACGAGAAAGAAGAAATGGAAGGGAAGAAAAGGGTAAGTAAAGAAAGAAAAGAAAAGAGGAAAATTATGGCCAATAAAAATAAAACACGCCTCTGGGTAACCGGGTGAATTGGTTAATGACTTGATGCAAGTCAAGGGATCATTTTGAGAATGTTACCCTTAAAGTTCAAATTATATTAGAATAATCCATATGTTGGATTAATATTGGAAGACTTTTAATAGTTCGGATTATTCATGTGAATTTTTCCTAAGAAAAAACAGGGCGATTTGCCAAATTGGCAAAAAAAAAAGTTACTTGAGACATATTAGTAAAAAAAAGAAGCCCTAGTAATAAATTGGTTAATTTTTTGTGATTAAGACACTTTTGGTTCTCGACTTTAGAATTCTCCATATTTCATATCCTAAGTGTTTTTTTTTTATCATATATCCTAAGTGTTGTAAATTGATATTTTCAGTCATTCTACTGTGACTTTATCATAAAAAGTGGATGACTAAAAATGCAAGAGTCGTGTTTGATTATATCAGTTGTTTGCTAGCTAATAGCCAGTTCAATTAGCAGGTTGCTATTAGCGAGTTCGATCTGTTTGCTTTTTTTAACTAACCATTTTCATTAGCGGTTTAAAATAAAATGTTAGTAATTTAACTGATTGCGACTAACTGTTAAGACGTAAAATGACCACTATCATTTTTAACATATGTACATTAACGTGAGCATACACATATAAATTTATTTATTTTTAGTATTAATATTTTAAATATGACTATTTTATAAGTTTTTTTAAAAAAGCTTCTTACAAAAAAGAAAAAGTATTTCATATAAAATAGGGTTTTCATATGGAGTAGAATTTTTAGTCAAATCTTTGTAGTAATTAATATTTTATTCCGATTAATGTTGTAAACCAGATTGAGACTGATTTAATTATTTATTGAGAAGCAGTTTTTTATCAAGAATAAATAAGTAAATGTTGAAACACATTTACAAGGATGTTTGCAAATAGTAAGATTGAAAATAAGGAATTGCCATAAATAGGAATAAAACATGATTAAAATTCCAAAATAGGAGTTAAAGTATTAAATTCCCAAAATGGGACTCAGATTAAATTCCCAACTCCTGTAATTTCTCCCTCCCCATCAACCACCACCTCCATCGATTGCAGCCCCTCTATGTGAATCTGCCATGGACAACAACTTCCCCCCATGGGCTGCGGTTCTCTGATCATCGAAGCCAGCCACACATGTGTTTTGTGATTTTTCCGGCGAAGTCGATCAAGTATTCTTCCTCTTCTTTTTCATCTTCTTCCTCCTCCTGTTCTTCATCTTCTCTTCCTCCTCCTTCACTTCTTTCTTCCTCCTGGTTCTCTGTTTTAGTTTTGTCAATTAATATGATTACTTTCAAAATCCTAAATAAAATTTTGGATTTGAAAATTTTAGATGAAGAGTCAAATTTCTATGAACAACAAGTGAAAGAAATGCGTTTGAATTTTTATATAATTATCAATTTTAAATACTTTAAAATATGAGAACATCCTATTATGTATTAGAAAAATGCCACAACTATCAGTTTCATGACATTAAACGTATAAAGATGTAGGTTTTATTACATAATTTCCTAAGAAAAATGCCACATCTATCATATGAAAATACATTTATTTTCATCTAAAATTTATATATTTTTATAGCAGAAAATGTCATGGTTATGTCACAACTCTGTTCTTGGTTCTCTACTTTCTTTTTAATTTGAATCTCAAAATGCCCTGACTAATGATTCTAAAAAAATGTCACTTTTTGAATCAAAGAATGTCATAATTATTGGTTATTTTTAAAAATGTCAATTCTGTCTCATTACAGTATTTGGAAATGCCATATTGAGAATGTAACGTTTCTATACGAAATTGACATTCTTGTGTCATTATGCATATTAAGTGGCATTCTCGCATATCAAGTGGCATTCCTCATGGAGGTTTGCACAGACTCACTGGAGGGCATATCCTTATCGGAGAAGGATGGAAGCGTACTCGCTAAGGGGCGGTGGCGGCGGTGTGGTAGCAGACTTGATGGAGGATGGCGGAGGGCTCCCAGGTCCAGGGTTGGGCCGAGACGCCGAGTAGTCTCTGAAAGACCTCCCTATATTCGAGATATGAATGTTGCGGCCTTAAGGTTGGAGGATGGTTCAGCTTGGAATGTTGAGCGGATCCCTTCTCTTTTTATTTCAGAAAATTGCAGAAGGATTCTCAACATCCCTATAAGTATGTACCGGCAAGATGATACTGTTTGGTGGGGCGGGGAGAAGGATGGCACGTTCACAGTTAAGAGTTGTCACAGGTTACAGGCAGGACCGAGACCGGGGTTGACGAGTGAGTGGCTTGGTTGTACAAAGGTGTGGGGATTACAAATACCGCCAAAGGTAAAAATCTTTTTCAGGCAAACCATGACGGGAAGGGGGGTTGATATACAACCAGAATGTATACTTTGTGGGCGGGTTGAAGAAGAAACTGTAAGGAATGGATTCCGTCTCCGGCTCAGGTCTTTCTACACACTACTCACATACACCACACTAGGAGGAAGCTACAACACAACTCTATTTTTGACTCTCCACTTAGGACCTCTCTACACTCACACAAAGGAGGAAGAAGAAGTGAGCTCTGCTCTCTTCACACAAAGGATGATACTCACGCAGGCTGCTCTCAAAGGCAAAAGGAGGGTTGACTTTATAATAGGCATCTTGCCTATTAGGCACTCACGGGTGAACAAAGACAAATGGTCACGGGTGATGCAATACAAAGAAACTTCACATGCTACCAAGACAAGAAGTGCAGCGGACAGAAGCATAGGAGGGGCCAGTCAAGTGGGTAAGTCAAACCACTCAAATAGGTATATATTTGATCAGGATATATACCAAAGAAAAGGTATCCAAGGGAGAATAAAATAGAGTGTGCAAGCCTCAACAAATAAAGTGGAAGGGAGGCCTTGGTAGGACCAATACCTCAAACATTCTCCACCTTATTGGTCCTAGGTGGTGTAGAGTAACAAAACAAAGTTGTGACAAGACTCATCATCGCCGGGTCACCCGAAATATCAAAAGACACAACGGGCAAACACTTTATTAGGCAACCCACAGTTATCCACAGTCAAAATTTAACACGCGTTTACAGGACAAGTGCTTCTCAGCAGAAAGACACTTGGTACCCATATCCGCGGGGTTAAACTCGGACGGGATCTTGCACAGCTTGACTCCACCTGCATCAACAATATCACGTATGAAATGGAACCTAACATCAATATGCTTAGTTCTATCATGAAAAACAGGATTTTTGCAAAGTTGGATAGCCGATTGGCTATCCGAGAAAATGGTAACTCCCTTTTTGAGAAACCCAATTTCGGAGACAAGGCGTTTGAGCCAGATGGCTTCCTTAAACGCTTCTGTGGCTGCAACATACTCAGACTCAGTGGTAGAAAGGGCCACAATAGGCTGTAGTTGAGACTTCCAACTAATGCAAGAGCCACACAAAGTAAAAACATAAGAAGTGGTCGACTTCCTGTTATCTCTATCATTTGCATAGTTAGAATCAACATAACCAATCAATTCAATACCACT